ATATAATGATGTGTTAATACGGCGTTCAAATCCTGTTTCTGCGCACCTTCATGGATTTCCGACCACCACCTGAAACTACTTCGATTTGCCAACGATCGTCTCGTCTCAGGCCGAGGGACGGGGTGAGACCGGTCTCCTCAAAGACATGCAGGTTATTACGCACCAATTGCATGTAACAGCCAGGATAATTGGCACCTGAATCGATGTGTGGCATAAAATCAGAGCTGTACAGGTGTCAAAGGCAGCTTTCTATCTCACCTCGCAGAGAGGGAGTATGAGGAAAAGTGAGGCAATAAGGCTACAACCGCACAAGTTAAAAAGTAAGATTTAGGCCGATGTCAGACTTTGCGAATACGCAGATGGTTAGCCCCACCCTCTTTACTCCGGTGACTCAGTGAAATCTTCTTCACCTCGTTCGCTCGCTTCTGGGTTGCCAGCCAACTTACCGTGGCTTCAGGTCATACAGTTGATCGAGTGAGCGAGAGTCCATCTTCTCAACCTCTGCGGTCGATTCGTCTTGCTTGCATCGGAGTCCAAAACTGCAATAGGTTAATTAATTAAAATGAGCAATAATATGGTAAGACGAGAACAAAGTTCGCAGGTAAGCATAAATACTGAACTGTACAAAGTATGAAGGCCGGAAGAGATGAAGAGAAGCAGGAGAATGGATGAAGACCTCCAGGGATGAAGAAAAACAAACAACTACAATATAAAATTGTGATTTTGAATAGAGTAAATGATCCTCCGTGGTTATTGTATGTAGACCTTTAAAGATACACAATTTGTCGAGTGGTTATCTGCTTTCCAACGACTCAGCCTAGGCCGATGTCAGACTTTGCGAATCGCGCGATTCGCTAGCGTCTGCGGTCGCGTCGCGGCCAGTGAATCACTCAATTGGCTGGTACCGCAACGCGACCGCGGACGCTAGCGAATCGCGCGATTCGCAAAGTCTGACATCGGCCGAAGTGTGTCTTTTTTTTGCGAGCGTTGCTACTTTTGCTTTGATCATCCCGTTGTATGCATAGGAGGTCTGAAATGCATCCAGCGCACTGCACTTCCCCTGGAATCAGTAGACTGCTGATCGAAATTCGTTCTTTTGCGGTAATATTCGTTCTTTTGTTTTAGACTGGTGTCAGAGTCCGCGATCCGTCGCGCGAATTGCGGTGCTCTCCGTCCTTCTGCTTAACGGTGATAGTTGACTAACGACTGTTTATGATTTTACTGTTTCACATTCAGTGTTTCAAATGCTCACATGGGGCACTTGCGACTTCTGAGACGCGCGAAGTGCGCGACGGATCGCGGACTCTGACACCAGCCTTAGGTGATGTAGGTGTCATTAGGAACTTACAACATATTAGAATCCATTTCATGGCACGCGCTGCTTTCTTTGCTTTTTTGAGGATGTGGTTGACTTCGTGATTGAGCACGAACTCCTGCTCCTGCTGCGTTTTGTCTTTGACTTCTCGTGGGCGCGAAGGCATTTGCTGAAACAGCTTCTTGACATCATCAAAATTTGTGTTCATTCTGAACAGTGTCGTTATCAGATTCAGTGTGACATTGCTCCTTTTTTACCATAATATTTTGTTCTTCTGCTGTGACATTGACATTTATTATTGGGATTGATTCCTTGGCCTCCAAGCAACAATCAAACATGAGGTCGTGTCGAAGAATCTATTCTGTGGGTGGGATAGAGTAGCCCACGTGTACAGATGTGCCGTTGTCGCGGCTCGAAAGTGCGCGACAATGGCGCCGTACCTTACAAAGTGATGTGATGACGGCTAGTGTGAACTTATGGACGAGATATCTCGTACTCCTTGCATGCAACGTGGATTACGAGCAGCTTCATTCAAGACAGAATGAACATTATCTATCCAATGACTACAGAATAACACCGTAGGTGAGCTCCCCCCCCCTGGGCCAGCCGCCAACGCGGCGCGCAACATGTTCGCGCATTGCCCGAGAAACTACAGAATAGTGCAAACTCGCACATTCCACGCGTGTCGAGTGACTGGCCCTAACCAGTACCCCCCCCCTTCCCACCTTCCAAAATGGCTACATTACCTGGTCCGTGGCCTCATGGATTTCGCATCGAAGGACATCAACATGAAGCGCGCCGCGGCGCGATGCCCCTTTCAAATCACAGCCCCCCCCCCCGTTTTATTTCCGCATGGTGCTCCGAGGGCCGTATCGTATCCTTCCTCAGGCTAGGCAAAAAAATCCCTTTGAATTCTCGGTTTTCAACAGTATAGTTTCCTTACTTTCAGCTCATGACTGCCTTAACATACACACAAACTTTACAAGTAGGCCATTTCCTACGACAGTTTTGGTTGGGAAAACAAAGAAAATTCGGGGGGAATTTCCTCTTTCCCTAGTCTGGGGAAAGGATAGGACACGGCCCCTGATTAAATGAATCCCTGTGAAAAGTGATCCGTAACGACCACACTGCGACCTTTTCAATCGTATTGGGCGCCTGGTAAAGCGTAATGTGTGCATTGCTACGGCACACACCTTATTGGACGACGAAAGCCGCCTCCGGAGGAATTTAGCGGCAATCTTTCAATTCACGCCTGTTCTGCATTGCTGTGATGACTTGGATCTACATTGAACGCTTTTTCTTATGTCAGAATCATGGTGTTTTGTCGCTAGACATCAACTAGTTCTGTCGGTGAAGTTAATTTGCCAGAGGTCTTTCCGTCCAAGTTATTTGCAATCGTTACTTATACTAGCGATTAGTTTAATCCAACTGTTCGTTGTCT